CTGGGGACACGCCAGGCTCACCCGTGCCCGCAGCTGGCACTGCCGCAGGCGACACTTCTGGCGGATCTTGTTGGGGCCCCCGAATTTCTTCATGTCCCGGCAGAAATCGCACTGCCCGCAGTCCTCGGGGCGCCGGCACGCCTCGCACTCACCACACATCCGGGCCGAGCGCTTGATCTGGGGTCGGGCACCCCGGAAACGGGGTCAGGCACCTCGAAAACGGGGTCAGGCACCCCGAAAATGGGGTCAGGCGCCCCAAAAATGGGGTCAGACACCCCGAAAATGGGGTCAGGCGCCCCAAAAATGGGGTCAGACACCTCAAAAACGGGGTGAGACACCCCAGAAATGGGGTCAGACACCCCAAAAATGGGGTCAGGCACCCCGAAAATGGGGTCGGGCACCCCAGAAATGGGGTCAGACGCCCCGAAAATGGGGTCAGACACCCCAAAAATCACCTGGGACACCCCTGCCTCGCACTCACCACACATCCGGGCCGAGCGCCTGATCTGGGGTCGGGCACCCCGAAAACGGGGTCAGACACCCCGAAAATGGGGTGAGGCACCCCGAAAACGGGGTCAGACACCTCGAAAACGGGGTCAGGCACCCCGAAAATGGGGTCGGGCACCCCAAAACCGGGGTCAGACACCCCAAAAATGGGGTCAGACACCCCAAAAACGGGGTCAGGCACCCCAGAAATGGGGTCAGACACCTCAAAAATGGGGTCAGGCACCCCAAAAACCACCTGAGATACCCCAAAACACACCCAAAGCACCCCAAAAGCCACCCAGGGACACCCCAAAACCCAACCTGGGGGTGTCCCAAGCACCTGGAGAGGTTCAGGGACCCCCCAAATCACCACTGAGCCCTCCGGTGCGCCCCAAATCCTCATCCAAAGGGACTTCCAGCCTCCCCCCCACCAGATCTCGGGGTTCTTGGGGGGGGTCTCCCCCCCCTTTTTGTGGGGTGCCCACCTTGGCAGCCCGGCCCTGCTCCAGCTCCTGCCCCTTGGTCCCCTCGTGCTCCTTCTCCCGCCACTTCTTGTGCCGGTACCGGATCTCCAGGGACGGGTCCTTCTCTGGGGAGGGGTCACACAGGGCTCAGGGGGGGTCCAGGACCCCTCCCCACCTCAGCACAGACCCCCTCAGATCACCCCTGGCCCCCCCAGATCACACTCAGGTGTCTGAGACCCCCCTCCCCAAAAACCACCCAGACCACTCCAAAAATCACCCAGATCACCACAAAACCACCCCAAAACCACCCAGAATTCCCCCAAAACCACCTAGAGTTCCCCTAAAAAGCACCCAGACCCCCCCAAAAA